TGAGCTCACGGTGAAGGTCCGGCTCGGTACCGGCTTGTGTAATTCTGACCCCACCCAGAGCTTGAAACCTGGAACAGTTTGCTGCCAAACCATTCCTTACAACAAGCCCGATGCTTTCTGGACCACAAGAACATTTTCCAGCAGCTCCTACCACTCTCTTACTTTTGTGTGTAAGAGGTAAATCAGACCCAAAATGCTGGTCACAGATCAACTTTTAGAGTTTCTCCTTAACAAGCTGAGCTCACCTCGATACTGAAGAGCAGCGGGAATGCGTATGTTTAATGATAATTCAAAACCTTGTACAATACATGGAACCTTTGAGGTACGTGGGCCCGTTTGGTTCAAAGTTAGATGCACAAAAACATGCTTGTGGTCGTACAGTGAACGACTTTTCTGCCAACCGGTTCTTGTGGTTGATCTGTTAAAAACACAGAATTACATAATTAGTCAAAACTAATGAATGACGTGCTTTTTCTATGATTATTATCATCTGCTTGTGCTTCTGTGTTGTGTTGTCGGCCCCTGGCCTTCTCCTTGGCTTGTTACAGTCTCTGGTGCAGAAACAGATGAGAAGTATTTCATGTTGTGCTTTAATGTGCAATTTATGATCTAGCATCTGCTCAGCTGCAAGCCCGAGTGACCTTCTCCTTTGCTGGTTCGCAATGATTCGTCAGAGCCAATCGCTGAATATAAGCAGCAGAGAGGAAAACATCATTTCCTCCTTCCTAGTCTCCAAAGTCTGACTGAGTCAAATGTGAACATTAGCATTTTGCTAATTAAGATGAACTTCAGGTTTGTTTTGTGCTCCACTGAAAGGTGTTGGTTTTAGGACCAGATTCCTTCTAGCAAAGAACAAAAGAGTTTATTGGCTCAATCTTTGGGAGTTTTGTAGAACTGTAGTTTATTCTTAGGGAAGCTTATGAGTCAGCTAAATCAGGGGGTGATGGCATGCGCCCGCCCTTAGCTACATCGCAGACCGCCTGTGGCTTTTAAGCTGTCTGAGCCGTATTATGATGAATGTAAAACTGAGTCCAAGTGTCTATTTACTTGATGCCAAATGATTGCTTTGCCTCCACAACAGACTTTTATTGCTGTTTTGTTGAAACAGTTTATTACAGACATACCAGCGCAGTGCACGGTCGTGTTCGAGCTCGTTTTCTGAAAGGACTCCTTTAGTTGAGGAATGGAAACAAACACATTTCAAGATGAATGATGAAAGTCTTGATCAGCTTGGGAGCTAACATCGTAATGTGTTATGAACAAAGATTTTAGATAATACAGATTAAAGGGCATTATGAAAGTCTGACAGCCAGAACATGTATAGAAATAATAAATGTCTTCTTCATACGTTCTCCTGCAATGCCCTGGTCCTGTAGAATGAGTCCTGGCATTTTTACTGTGATTGCCTGTTTTTCTGTAAAATCACAGAAAAAGAGAGATGCTCGGGTCGAGCAGGCTGCTTCATGCGCGTTCACGCTCAGGCATCGCCCTCCGAACCGTTCTTTGAACGTTGTTTCAGCTGTCATCAGGGATATAAAAGTTACAGATACAAATGACGTCACTGGTGCTATAGCTCGCCTAGTAAAACGTTGGACTTTCGTGCAGTGGATCCGGGTTCGATTCTGGATTTGAACATAGTTTATTTAGTTTCTTTTATTTAGTTGGTCAGTGTTGCAGCCAAACTGAAGAAGCCTCTGACTGAAGACACTCTTCTGTTGTCGGACAGTCTTGTGAAGAGAATGCTCAGGGTTGTCCATCATTTTCTTGATTCTCTGGAGAATCCTTCTTTGCATGATCTCCTCCAGCGGTTACACAGTCGTCCCCAGAACAGAACCAGCCTTTTTTTATTAGGCTGTTGAGCCTTTTCAGGTCCCTGCTTCTGATGCTGACCAGCACCTGATTTATCATCGCCCATTATGATTGATGGAAGAGAATTTCTGCTTTTTCAGTCTCCGTTTTGCTCCCGCTCTGCACCCACGCTTCTTGCGTTTTAACATTTTAGCTCATTTGTGGCTTCAGTTGAGGTATTACTTCAACCTTTCCAATGTTAATCAGCTGCTGCTGATTGTAAAACCAGCTTGTTACCATGGTTACTAGGGCTGGGGGTAAACGATTATTTTTAAAACGATTATTCTGACGATTATTTTATCGAATAGTCGACTATTCTAATGACTATTTAGAAAATTAATCTAATGATTATTTTTCTATTGCACAATTAACAAAAACCAGAAAATCTCAAATAAATTGATAAATTCTTACTGTAAGAGAATAAACACTACAGGCCTTCCATTTTGTACAACACTGCTTTTATTGTGTTGCTTGGTTATGTTCTGGTGACGTGTAGAACTTGGGAGTGCAGGCTGCTGCCTGAGAGGTGGTAGAAGATGGAGTGTCTCCATGCTGCTTTGTTTTGGTCACTTATGTGCGTGAGGCGAGTGGTGTTACGGGTTAAACCAAACTCAGGTGATATTTTACACTAAACCGAAAACCCACAACACTCTAAATGTAATAAAAGGGAGATCTACACCACAAAAAACATGAACTCTAAACCAAAACGTAACAGCTTATCCCAACGCAAGAAGCTGTTAGCGAAGATGCTAACAGTAGCTTTACCATCGTTAAGTTCAAGTTACCAAGTTTAAATAAACCAAAAACACCCAGCAGCAAACAGACCAGCACGGTGGAGAGACTGCTACCACCAAAACAGCTCTCCTCATGTCTGAAAGAAGCTCCTTAATGAAGGGAGAAGCGCTCCCGGTGATTTTCTACATCTGCGGTAGACACGAAGCAGCGCATCTGACCCCGGAAGTTGTCGTCCGTTGCCGGGAGACGAAGGCGGGCAAAACAGGAAAATAATCTAGTAGTGGACGGACGTTGTTCCGGGTCTTCGGTATTTGGCGGAGATGTTAGTGAAGGCGGAGAAGAGGGCGAACTAGAGGAAAAACAGGCAGATTCCTCCTCCATTTACAAACTCCTGGGGATGCAACAAGTGGGCGCGGTGCGTCGACTTCCGGATCTGACGTCGACAAATTTATAGAATCGAGCAGTCGACTACGTCGAGGCTTCGCTACAGCCCTAATGGTTACGCATCATAACAAATGCTCAAAAAGTGAAAAAAGTGAAAAAATTGCAGTAAAAATCCTCTTAAGCTTAACAGCACCAGAAACAGAAAAGTAAAATGTAAAAAAAAAAATAGTTTTTCTTGAGAAACTAGAAGAAAAAATGTCCAAAAAAGGCAAAACTTGCATATAGTCAACAGAGCTACTCCAACATGCAGCCACCCAGAGCAGCGCAGTTCCGGAATGTATTATATTATCTCTACATTTACAAACAGGCACCATCGCCAGATGCATGCAAATAAATCAAGTTTCAACTATTTGAATGCTATGTTTTTATTCACGGAACAAGAATAAATACAAACACGCAGCTGGTCAGAAAATATGAAACTTATTTTTGGTCTAACTTCAGCAGAGCAGATAGCAGTGGCTTTCATCGCAGGCTGCAGAGAGGTGAACCACTAAAGCATGCCTATCAGTCAGTTTCTGTGAACCTGTCTGTGCACGTTTGAAATGTTCCCTGATCTAAGTAAGGAAGTTGAAACCACACCTTCTGCATGCGTGTCTGCATTTAAACATGGTGATAGTTTTAGACATAACGTCTACATAAACTCAGGTGATTAAGAACATAATCCACTTAAACCAGTTTACAGTAAACTTAAAGATGATCCAATTAGGGCTGGAAGACAAAATGATATGATGAGCTTACATTAATCACATGTAAATATGCATATTTCATCCAGAGTTGCAGGCTTACGAGTAGTGTTACTTTGAGTAGTAATTTAAAATGTAATGGCCAAATTGGGGGTTATTTGCTTTTTTTCTTAATCTAAACTGCAGCCTGGTTGATTGTTTCTTTTTCTACTACATCATAAACCAAATAATACAGACTCAGATCCAAATTCACACTTGAAGAGCTGCACAGCTGTCAGACAAGAACCAAGCATACAGTTACATTTGGCATGATTGTCTTTGTTGAATGCACCATAAACGACGAGTTCCTCCTCATAAATAAATCTGATGGTTTAATAAAAACTGAAAAAAAGCAGTGGCGGTCACGGTTTGCTTTAAACCACAAGCATTTTTTTATTGGGCTGCAGATCTCAGACCCCCTAGACAGACACACACACACACACACACACACACACACACACACACACACACACACACACACACACACACACACACTGTGTGTGTGTGTGTGTGTGTGTGTGTGAATTGCCTGGAATTTAATAAACTGGAAAACTGATCTAACACAACTCACTGGCCTATCGAGACAAGAAAAAAAAGCAAATAAACGTTTAAGTATAATTTCTGAACCAAAACATGCAAATAAACACAACCTGAATACTTCATTTTGTGTCTCATCTACGTTTGTGTAAGCTACCTAAAAGTTTAAATGTATCACCAAGTTGTCCAGAGCTGTAAAGCAAACGCGAGTCAGCAGCACGGCTTTTTCCTTACCTGCTGTGAAGACAAGTCGATGGGGTTACTGCTGTCCCGCAGTAACGTCAGAGCGAAAACATTAGAAAAAGTCCTTTTTTTATTTAACAGGAACAAAATAGGTTCCGTACGAGGGTGTGTATCATCCTAATCACAAAAACTGTTGGCAAAACCACGATAAAACTCTTTGAAACCTATTTTCATGAATGGTTAATTGAGTAAAAAGTTCCGGGATAGCTTTACTCGGTCAGTCGAGTCCATAGACTGTACATGGTCGAGTCTTTGTCAATTCCGGGTTTAGAAAAGAACTTCCGGTTACATTATTTCAAAATAAATAAACTGTCGTTGTTGGGATTTCTTTGAAGGCACAAGATCAACATCAAAATTGGCACAAATAATAAATATTACGCCTAACTTGTGGTACCTTAATCAGTGGGTTTTCACACGTTGACATTTAGCTTTATTTCACAACATATATATTTAGCAAGTAAATTTTGACCTTTACTTTGAAATAATGTCTGACTCCTGTAGGAAATGTTATCAAAGTTTAACCTGGGATAACAGATATTTTATCTAAAATAAATAACCGAAGTTTTTTAATTCTAAGTTCCGGGTAGGACATGTGTGGCTACAGCTGCCCTCTGCTGTCCATTTCTCCTGAAGCAGAACTCCTGTTCCTCCAGCCAGACTCCAACCCAGAGGCAGAGTGGGTTTAAAAGGATGTGCTGCATTTAAACGTCACATAGTAATATAGTTATGTGCCACTTCTTGTATCTGCTATGTGATATTTCCTATTTTAGCCCTAATTAAAAGATGACTGGACTAATAGTATGACAGCATTTATTTCGGACTTAGAATCCAATTTTAGGATTATTCATATTCAAAGCTTTCCCCCACACAATGGACTGACTTTCCAAGGAGAGTAACTAAACGTACACAAACCTGCATGGCCTGACCTTTACCCACTGTTTGTGACATGCTGAATCAAGCAACAAAAAACACAAATAACATTAAACTGTTTATTTTGTGTTTTTGGTGCAACTACAGCTGAACAATTCTGAGTGTGTTATAAAAACAGTCTGCATGCTTGGGTCTTGCACACTGGCACACAGAACTAAAGCTGTGCTCCCTGGTTGCTCACAGCTCTGTCCAATCTCAAAGTGTGGCTACCGCCTGACGATGAACAGCAACCAGTCTGTCCACAGAGATGTTAAAGTGCAACAAGGAGACTGATGGGAGTAAAGCAGAGGTTTGTGTTGAAAAACTCCTTCAACTTTTAAGTGTAGGCCCAAAAATAGTAGCAACAATCTGGCAAAAACATAACTAGGTGGTATAAAAACTAAACGCTATTCTATACAAGCAGTAGAGTGATTTACACAGTACATACTGTACATTTATACCATCTAGGGCAAGGTAAGATATCACTCAGAGGGATCTTCGTGAAGAGAACGCTGCAGAAAGATGACAAGAGAAAACTCTCGCTGAACCTTCTTTCTCCCAGCCGAGAATGAGAAGTTAAAATTTGGACCGACACAAAAAGAACCAACATATACAAATCCAAACAAAAATAATCCTAATTTGATGACATACCGAACATTCACCCAATGAGCGTACGTTTTATTTTACAAACTCAACAGGAGCGTATTGATACAGACACAAAATAACGAAGACATTAGCAACAAAACCGGTTTTAGAGAAGAAGAGCAGAAGCTTTTCCTCTGACATAAACACTTTACACCAGAGAACGCTAATTTGCAAGGTACAAAATGTATAAAGGTACAAAAGTGTTGAAATAACAACTTTGGGCTCACTTTCCCGTCTTGTTACCACTAGTTTTTCAGCAGGAAAATCATAAAATAACGCGGGTCTGTTTATGGAGAACACAAGTAAAGACAGAACGGTGACATTTTAGAATCCCTTTAAAAAACATCTAGAAAAGACTGATTTTGGTGGGGGCACCTTTTAAAAACATGACTCCAAAGAGTGTTTTAAAGCAGTGTTTTTATCTGTGAATTAGATGGATTAACCTCACCACGAGCCATGTGGTTCTTTACATAAAGTCTACTGGCTTAAATAAGTTAAAGTTCTTCTTCTAAAAGTGGTTGAGAGCACCTTGATGCCAACGGTTTTGGTTAAACGTGACAGAAAATCCACCGCTCTAGTCATGCAGGAGAGAACAGTTTGTTGGGCCTGGTGTTGGTTTTCTAAATATCTCGGTCTGCATTAGAAATGCTGTTAATAAGCCTCGTGTGCAGGTAATACAAAAAATATATTCTCTATGTACAAGAGGACAGTGCATATGTCACCAGCTGACTCAGCGAAACTATTCAGCTCCTGACCGGACTGAAAAGAAGGATCTGTTTTTATTCCTGGGGGATGTCCGACACGATTTCAGAGAAGCAAACTCTCTCACACACACACACTCACTCACTCACCCACCCACCCACCCACACACACATTCAGGCATATGGGAAAGCTGACACGCAAGCATAATTTTTTTTTGTACACGAGAATCCAAAAATATAATTCCGACTCTTGTTTTTCCTTGGAAAAGTTGTAAGTAAAATGTTTTGTCCTCGTCTTTGTTTCTGCGCTCCCGTCTGAACTCGGCTGGAGCTCTTTGTGCCGATGCAGCCGAGTCCTCGGAGCACTTCCTGCCCCTCTTCTAGTCTTCGCTGTCGGAGAAAACAGGGCAGGAGGACTTGAGGAGAATGAGGACAGATAATCATATTTGGGTAACAGTTTTTGTTTAAATCAAAGGTCAAAGGTTGAGAATGGGCACATCAAAGAGGTCACAAAGACCTTCTGTCTCATCCAAATTGTAAATGTAGTCATGATCACTGGGAGGAGGGGACAGACGAAGGAGAGGCGAGAACACTGAGGGCGAAACACAAACAGGAATTACACAAAGACAGTTTGTTCGTGATGATGTTGCTGCTTTGTCTGTAATCATATTCACCTTCTGATGACATCAAGTCCTCCAGCAGGTCTCCACTCATGATTTCTTTCAGAAAAACAAAGTAAATCCATATTTACCAGCTGCTGCATCCCGTGAAATACTTTCTATTACATGTAGAGACGCGTGTGACTGAATTTACGGTTTAAGAAGGGCTGAAATGGTTTACCTTTAGTTGGATCAAACATGTCTGAAAGCTCTTTGGGAAAGTCCAACACTGAAGGGAAACATTTCAGTAAAACGGTTGCAAAAACACTTTTTACTAAACTTTTCTGAAATGTAATCTGCAAACAAAACAATCAAAACTTATTCTGAAATGTCCTTCACAGCTTTAGAAGAGCCCGACACTCACATTCAGATGGATCCGACTTCATTGGTTCAAACGCAGCAGAGACAGAGGACGACGCGGATCCGTCCAAAGAGGCGGATGACTGTAGCTGCTGAGGAGGAGCAGCAGGTGTGCGTGATGCGGGGCTGAGAGGAGTGGTGCTCGGCGCCTCTGAAACAAAACCAGAGACACAACGTTAATGTGAGAAACTCCAGAGGGAAGTGAAGAAGCAGCAGAAAATAATTCACTCGGTAAAAGGCCCGTTTCTGTATACAACCCCCCAAGGCGCTTCACAACACAATCAGTCATTCACACGTTCACACGCTGGTGGGGATGAGCTACGATGTAGCCACAGCTGCCCTGGGGCGCACTGACAGAGGCGAGGCTGCCGTACACACGTACCACCGGGCCCTCCGACCACCACCAGCAGGTAAGCTGGGTTAAGTGTCTTGCCCAAGGACTCAACAGCAGCATTCTCTGGTCGGAGCCGGGATCGAACCTGGAACCTTCCGATTTCTGGACAACCTGCTCACTCTACCTCCTGAGCTACTTGCTTAATCACTACATGTTCAGCAGTCTCTAGTAGGAACAAATGCCTTTCAAGTCGTACTCGGGGGAAACAAAGCTCAGATGCGCTTGTTTCAGGAACTAGCAGAATGCTACATCAAAGGAGAGCTTAACGCGACAGGAGTCTTACTTCCTGATATGTGGACATCTCGCCTCTGATTGGATAACAGCAACACGACTCTACCACTGACTCTGGCTGCTCTGCAACGTTGATGTTTTATCTCCACAAATAACACAAGCCTGAAGGAGTTCTGCTGTGTGGTGGAGTTGCTAATGCTAACGGTTAGCTTCTACTAGCTGAGGAGTTATCTGCCGTTTCCTGGACGCTAAACCAACAACAGCCTTCCCCGTCGTGAGTCCAGATGAGTGAATCCATGAATGTTAGTGACAGGGTGACGTAGATTTGTCAGGATTTTCTAATCCAAGAGCCGTGGTACTAAATTACGGACCTAGAGGGCCGGTATCAGCACGTCGTCCGTTTTAACTGTTTTAACAAACTGAATTCAATCAGCAGGAAACTAACAGGCTGCTGCACAGGTGGTTCAAACATGCTGGTTAGCAGCTCTCCAGGACCAGGACTGAGAACCACTGTCAGACGCTGATGCAGGACATAGGTGTAGGAGACTTTTTTCATGTTCAGCTTGCATGGAAAAACTCAGAGTGACTGATTATGAACAAAAATAATCATCAAAAACGTTTTTCAGTGAACTACACCTTTAAAACGTTCCCCACCTGTTGTCGTCTGGTTGGCTGCAGAAGCTGGTGTTAAGGCAGGAGCTGCTTTTGTGGCCGTGTCTGGAACTCCTTTGGGACCCTGGAGGGGAAAATGGAACAGAAGAAACGTCAGCATTGCACAAAACGCCAAATGTAACGAAGGAGACTATCGCTCACGTTTAAATGGACACCTTACAGTAATCCTTTAGAATAAATTCTATGTTAAGAAATTTCTGTAATTCATGGTAAAGTAAAACAAATGGCCACACACTTGAAATTCAAAGCAGAAGGTTTTTTCCCATCTTAGCTGCTTTTACTGAATCAAAACTGTGGCCTTAACATTAATTAACTATTTTTTACCAAACTTGAGAAGTTTGAACGTTTGAAGAGAAAAACCTGACCGTTAAATACATTTCCCATCAGTCTGCCGAGGACCTGTCTGAGCCTGGTTGGTTATAAACCGTCAGCCTGGGGGACGTAGGTTTATTATTGGCCTGAACGATTTTAGGAAAAGACTGAATTGCAATTTTTCTGGCAGAAACTGCGATTTCGGTTCAATTCACGATTTTCTGCAAACAAAGGTCCAACATTAGGCTGCCAAGCCGTCCTGTAGATGAAGTAGAAGAAGAAGAAAATATCATTTTTATCGCGCCTCTCAAGATAAAAATCATGAGGAGCTTCACAAAAACATAAAAATGTAAAAATATTAAAAATAATTTAGAAAATGTTTACAAATATATTTAAAATGAGCAAAAACTAGACAATTGTGATTAAAGAATGTTAAGAAAGAGAGAGAGTGAACAGGAAAGAGGGAAATCAGTGGATCCTGAGGAAGGTGGAATAGGTGGGGAGAGCAGAATAAAGAGAGAGAGGTGAAGAAGGTCATACAAAAGCCAGCTTGAACAAGTGAGTCTTCAGCTGCTTTTTAAAGGAGACCACTGAGTCCACTGATCTCAGGCTCAGGGGGAGAGAGGTCCAGAGTCTGGGGGCCACAGCAGCAGATGATCTGTCACCTTTGACCTTTAGCCTGGTGCTGCACAACCAGTAGGCTTTGGTCACTGGACCTCAGGGACCTGCTGGGGGTGTAGGGACTAAGAAGATCACCAATGTAAGATGGTGCTTGTCCATGTAAGGCCCTATAGACCAGAACCAGGATCTTGAAATGAACCCTGAAGTTGACTGGCAGCCAGTGAAGCTGGAGGAGAAGCGGGGTGATGTGGGTGTGTTTGGAGGACTTGGTCAGAAGCCGAGCACCGGCGTTCTGAACCACCTGTAGACGGTTCAGGGAGGTACGTCCTCGGTGCATCTTGGGCGATTGTGAACAAACGGAAGGACAAAAGAGCTGGCGATCATAGGAGATGGTAGCAGGGACACTACCGAAGAGGATCGCAGACAGGAGCAAGGTGGAAAAGAGGAGGTTAGTGGAGAAAAGTTAGAAAAAGTGGCCGGTGACCGCGGCTAAGCCAAGCACAGGCGCCATCTTGTTACCGACCGGAAGCGGAAGTGAAAAGATGGTCTAGATTCTAATCTAGTACAACAAATCATTCACATTAATATTTACTATTTAATCATACAATAAAAACAATTAAAGCTATTAGTTTTTTATCCCATTATTATCTTTTTTTATGTGTTTGTGAAGCAAATTGTGATTATCTAGAGAGGAGCTTTATAAAACATGGTCTACTCCAAAACTGCATGGAGGAAATCTGTAGGTAGAAACAACTTTTAAATGTATTAAATAACCAAATGCATACAGTTTTCCTGCGTTACCGCGGCAGGCTGAAGCTGTCTGATACTTTTTCCTCACTAATGTCAGCTCCGTGAGAGAGACGCACGTATTCTGACACCTTAGCTTGTCTGAACTAACGTACCGTCAGAAACATTCAAACCATTTTTAAAAGACAAGTTGAGCTTTCAAGTCAACTAAAGTGCGCGACTCCGCTCTCACGTTGATGAAGCACAAACCAAGCTTTAGAAACCAGCCTGAACCTGCTGATGTGGGAGGAGTCTCTCTCTCTCTCTCTCATCTACGGTGCATTACTATCGGCTCTAGCGGCGCTGTGTGTGGGAACATTAAAACAGGGTAATAACCTGAACATGCAGCTCTGGCAGCTGTGGAGTTGGGCTCAGCTCTGGACGGTACACCCCATCCCCCTCCCCCGCGCTGGCTTTTGCCGCTGCCATAACACAGGGGGAAACCCCCCGGGTGTAAAAAAAAAAGTTACACAACTGACCCTGGATCAGTCAAAACCACTAAAACCGCAGCTTTGACGGTCACGTGATCGTGCTGTTTGAAATCGCAATTTTGGTCCAAAAACGACAGATCGTTCAGCGCTAGTTTATTACATGCAATCTAAAGACCCATGAAAGTCAGTAACATAGAAAACATCCTTAAAGAGCAAGTCACCCCCAAATCAACTTTTTTTCCTGATAAACTATATAAACGCGTGTCTAATCGTGCTGCAGACACGTGTCGTCAATAGTTTAGCACTTTAGTGCATTTTTTAATTTTCTGCCTAAAACTGTCAGTGTTGTGCCGTTGTCAAGTAAAAACTCTGCACTGCATTTGAATTTAAATCTGCCATCGCTATTGGCTAAGAGGTCCACTATGACGTTAGCTGGTACCATATGATGTCACAATGTTTTTGTGCCCTCTCGGTCTGCTAGGCAACAGGAAGTGGGAGCGGAGTAATACTCTGGTAGGGGGTGACTTGCTCTTTAAAAACAGAGTAAAATAAAGCATCACGTTTACGTGCCATTATACATGTTTCTTTAAAAGTAGGGTCTGTCAAAGTGATACACTTTTTGACCTTTAATGCATCGAAAAAAACACTCAGTGTGAACCTGTGAGGCAGAAGTGGGCTGCTGAGAGGTAGGTGGTGGTGCTGGTAGGCTTTGAAGGACATCCTCCGGAGGTGGGACAGGCAAAACGACAGGGGAGGCACTGGACGGGTCCTTGTTGACCAATAAAACCTCTATGGGACCTGTTGTACTCTTAAGACGGATTTGGTACTTCCTCTGTCCATTGAGAGCCTACGCAGACACAAACACCCTTTGCTTGTAGAAATAAACAAAACTACAGCTGGAACAAAGTGTTTTAAACACGACTTACAGCTTCTGGTATGGGCACCTCTAGTTGCGTTCCTATTGGAGCACGGATTGCTAAGAGTGTGTCACCTGGAGAAGACAAACATAAAGGTGATGAGGATCATTACTGGTCATTAATAAATAAATGTTAATAAAAAACACAGAAAAATTACCTTTAAATGCTCCACATAGGTCTTCATGTTTTACATAAGCCATAGTATAAAGGTGTTAAGGGTCTATGTTGGCACTTTGATACACACCTGAATGTCATATCATCATCAACATGTGAGATATTCAGTGAAGATGTTACTAACATTTGCATTAGGATGCCTGGAATCCACGACTAGGACAGCGTACTAGACCATGACATAACTAGCAATTTATGCTAAAACAAATAGACGAGAAAGCAAAATTAAAACATCAAACTCTCACTGAAACTTTGAAATATGACTAGCAGTGAAACATTAAGATGTCTGGCTTTAAATCATGTGAAAAGTCACAACTTTTTACAGACTGAGTGATAATCTGTGTGACTTTTAAGTGCAAAATTGGTCGAATACCCCTTTAGGTGACCAGGTGCTCACAGTCCACATTATTACAAAACTCTCTCTTGAAAAAGTTTAAACATCCGCATGCACGCACACACAGCAGTGAAAGATATGGGCTGTTGTTGGAGTCGTCTGTGACATTCTTGATGCTTTGTTGAACCCAGACTCTTTGCTGGTCCAGCTCGTGTTCCCGGACAGCCAAGTCGTCTAGCTCAGCCTTTAGATCAATCAGCTTATCTGCAATCTCCCTGGTGTTGCAGCCAGGGCCGACACCCCTGAAACACATTGGTAAGCACGTGGTCATTCACATTCAACAGGCAAAGAAAACTCGCCGTCAACCTTTTTCCCAGCATAAACGATGAACTTGTAGCCAAAACAAGCTGCAGATAGATTCATCTCACGTCTAACTCAGGTAGAAGACATGCTAATCAGCCATGCTCATAGTCATTTCCCTTACGGCATTGTTTTATGTATGTAGGACATTAAAGAGCAAGTCACCCCCAAATCAACTTTTTTTCTGATAAACTACATAAATGCGTGTCTAATTGTGCTGCAGACACGTGTCGTCAATAGTTTTGCACTTTAGTGCATTTTAGTTCAAATTTAAATTTTCTGCCTAAAACTGTCAGTGTTGTGCCGTTGTCAGGTAAAAACTCTGCACTGTATTTGAATTTAAATCTGTCATCGCTATTGGCTAAGAGGTACCCTAGAATGTTAGCTGGTTCCATATGATGTCACAATGTCGTTGTGATCCTGTGTGTGTTTGTTAGCGGCTCCACCCTCTCGGTCTGCTAGGCAACAGCATTTGTTGCATTTTTCAAACAGGAAGTGGGAGGGGAGTAAGAATCTGGTAGGGGGTGACTTGCTCTTTAAGTGTTAAGGACTGCTGCAAAACCTCAAAGTCATAAATATCCTCAAAGTATTGGCATATGATATGTTAGTATGATTACATATAACAAACATCACTACAGTTTAAAAATTGAAAGGTGAGGCTCAGACAATCGTGTTCAGAAAACTGCAGCCGATTCAGACGTAATCCCTGTTACATAAGACAATGATGAAAACATGAAGGCTTGATGTTTCATGAAAACATGAAACATGAAGGCTAAGAACAATTTATTACAGACTGGAGTTATAAATTCTGGTCTTTTCATGAAGCCATACATACAAATAAAACTTACTTCCATTGAATACTGTTCTTAGATTTCTTCTCTATAAGACCAATTCCTTCCAGGACATTAGTAATGTCGTATATACGTCGTTTTTGCCGCACTGCCAAGGTATCTGCTGCCTGAAAGAAAAAGGACAAATACAATGAATAAAATATGAATAACAAACACACATTTGGCTCTTTTGCACAGAAAATGTCATGGCTGAGTGTAAAATACACAAAAAAGATATATTTTACAAACCATCTGGGTGTGACATCTACACTTCCTGCCCAGCCAAGTCTTTGGGTCTTAGGAGATAAAAACAATTTGCAAGGAGCTGATAAGTCTAAGCTTTTTCAAATAGCTGGACTTAAGTCAGTTGGACTGAACGAAAGAGAAAGAAAAACATCTGAGCGTCTGGTATTTTATGATCTGCAGAGTGCAATGCAACCATAAGTGCCCGCAGCCAGGAAGCTAGTTTATGAAATTATGAAGTCAAGTTAATCTAAACACCACCTGGTTTACTAGACTTTGGCTCAGAGGTGGCACTGTGTTTATAAATGTTTCTGTTTTGGAGCATTACTAATCTGACAAGTCTGAAGTATCTGAATTCAGATGTTTGTCAGGACATGTGTATTAGTAGTACTGCATCAAATAAGTAGGTTAGTTCTCAGCATCTTGACATTACTGAGGAGGCATATCCACTACTTCTACGTGTTTAAACACAAAGATTTGCACGTTTTTGGAATCGGACTTGATAAAAACCAATAAGGAGCTATGCTGCGTTTGTGTGCCTAATGGAAGTGGGCAGGTCTCATTAAAAAAACAACACATTTAAGATATTTCCTAAAACTAACGCAGTGGGGGTGCTTATCGTTCAGAGAGAAAAGGCCATACCCATCAGAAAAAAGAAACTGCTCAAGTGTGAAGATGCCACACTATGTTACTAGCAACAAAAGCTGACCCACTTTTGAGAGTTTGAATCTGCAGGGGGCAGAGCGAGTCTGAAAAGTTGGCCGGTGTTGTTTTCAAAGTTAATTTCACGTCTGACTGAACGGTTCGTGTCTATGGGACGCTAACACACCGAGTCACCAAAATAAACAAAGTTAGAGTATCACAAATGTTCAAATACTGTAAACCCCGAAGCTAACAGGTTACATCCATTCAAATTAGCATGACAGAGCTAAGCTAAGCTAATATGCTAGCGAAAGTAACGACAGCGGGTAGGCTCTGTATGACATGTGCTAGCTGACAACAAAGACTCCGGGTTGAATGCTCACAGCTTTCAAATCCAGCACTCCGTCTTTCGCCTCCTGTAGCAAGGTCACGAATTTGGTCGTGAGCAGTCCCAGGCTCTTTTCATGCCTGCTTGGGGTCTGTGGCTGCAGCGAATCTCCCACCGCTCCCGGGTCGCCTCGGTTACTAGCCGACTCCAGCTCCATCACTCGGGACAAGCTCCGTACTTCCCCCCGCTTCCCCGACCAGTTCCAACCCGCGAGCACAGGAGAGCTCCACCGCCGGAGTCGAGTACACAGCAGCCCGAGATTGCGTGGTGGTGTTTTTTTAATCCGTGTGGATTAGATTAGAAAATAGTTGCCCAAATGTATCTGAACACGATGAGTGCTGTAATTCAATGAGCAGGCAGTCGGTGGTAGAGAGCCGTTGGCCACGCGAGGTATGACGGGACGGTTCAATCGTACAAGGGAGTGTCTGAGAATACTCACGTTGTTTAGAAGACGTGTACAAAAATAAAATAGTGGCTGCTTAATTTAAAACAAAAGTTCATTAAAATTAGCTGGTAAATATTTTATATTACAGATGAGTTGTATCAGAATATGTTTGCATGGTCTTTACGTATTGGTTACATCCATTAAAATTATGAATTATACGTATTTATTTAATACTACAATTTATGTGCTTACCCTTATCTACCCAAACACGCACACGAACAGACGCGCACTTTTACGTGCGCAAAAAACCCCACTAAAGTCTGCACGTTCTTAGTAGTTCATTTGCATGCAAATTAATTGATTATGTTTCGTTATTATTTACTGTAATTTTGTTTGTTAAATTTTTACTTTATTCTTCGTGTCAGTTGGACCAAGAGATGAGCAAGACTCAAGTCAAGGCCCGGTCATTTGTTTTTCATCACATCTACGAATTATTTACACAAAACCCAGCTTTAAACGTCCAGGAAGGCATATTTTTGTTATGGAGATGTGACAAGCTGTCATAAATGAAAAGAAAAATATCATACACGGGTGTTGCCATATTACTTAAACAATGCATTGGTACATCTGCTAGTTACAAAAGAATGAATCATATTCCATTAATTATTTTCTTATCCTATAATAACCAAGTTATTTTGCAGTATGGTTTTGACACACACTAGTTGTCAACCTTCCGTACTTTAGCTTTGTGTACAGTGTATAATTATTGTCTTTCCAGAACTGCGCTGCTCTGGGCGGCTGCATGTTGGAGTTGACTATGTGTAAGTTTTGCCTTTTCTTGGGCATTTTTCTTCTAGTTTCTCAAAAAAAAACTGTATTTTTTGGACACTTTACTTTTCTGTTTCTGGTGCTGTGAAGCTTGGAGGATTTTTACTGCTATGTTTTAGCTTTTTTCACTTTTTGAGCATTTGTTATGATGCGTAACTATGGCAACAAATGGTTTACAATCAGGAGCAGCTGATTAACATTGGAAAGGCTGAAATATTACCTCAACTGAAGCCACAAATCCCAAATGAGCTAAACGCAAGAAGCGTGGGTGCAGAGCGGGAGCAAAACGGAGACAGAGAAAGAGGAAATTCAAACCATCTCTTCCATCGATCATAATGGGCGATGTGAGATCACTGGCCAACAAGATGGAGGAACTCCAAGCCCTTTCAAGGACTCAGCCAGAGTGTCGGCAGTTTCGAAACCACTGGAGGAGATAATGCAAAGAAGGATTCTCCAGAGAATCAAGAAAATTATGGACAACCCTGAGCATTCTCTTCACAAGACTGTCCGACAACAGAAGAGTGTCTTCAGTCAGAGGCTTCTTCAGTTTGGCTGCAACACTGACCGCTACTGGAGATCCTTCCTGCCAACAGCCATTGTAATATACAACAACTCTTTGATGACTTGATTATTATTATTATTCTGAGCTACAGCAATCAATTTCCCTCTGGGATTAATAAAGTATTTTTGAATTGAACTGAATTTAGAAAAACATTTTGCCTCGTGGAATCCACACCCTATAATATAGTATATTTTCCCAAATTCTGTGTTTTTTATTCAACATGTCCTCATGTCCTCAGTGTCATTAGACTGTTGATCAAAGAACAAGAAAGCATTCTCTCCAGCAGGGGGAAGTATTGCACAAAAAAAAAACGAAGTCAGTCATACCTATACAATTATTTTTTACATGAACAATAAATAAATTAAAGAAAAATCAAAAACACATACATTTTCGCAAGTGATGCAAGTGCTTTCAGATACAGTTACTTATTGTCAAAAATTATTGAACGCCACAGCCTTGCTTGTCGCGAAAGTGCTTCTGTTGTTCTACATCCGGCAAAGCGGTCAGCTGACCGAACAAAACATCGCTGCTTTCGCAACGTCGGAAATAACGTTACTGTATTCATTCATACCCAGGTAATCATGGTTCATGAAATTTTATTCATACACACGAGCCATTATGACAATCTAGCGATGTTAATTAAAAGTGTTTATCTTGTCTCTAGCCGTTTTTAGCTCGATACCTACATCTGAATGTTACCATGTTGCTAACTAGCTAACATAAAGCTAATCTACAGGATAAAAGGGGAAGTTAAGGATAAAATACTTGTCATTTAGTCCGCTGTTCCTAAATACATGTTGATTGTAACCAGCAAAAAAGTACAGTCTATTTAGGTATTTTTGTCACCGATTTGCTGCTCTAGGATTTTTCAGAGGACACTGTTTATGTGGTGAGTGTTTGACAAGTGACAGGAAGATGGCGATGTGGTATCACCAAAGCACATTTTACAGTTACTTGATATTTTCCAGTTTTGGCCATGAAGAAGAGCAAAGGCAAACCTAACAGCTCTGCCGAGAAGGAGTTTGTGTTTGAATTCAGGGCAGGGAAATACAACTGTGTCCTCAAAGTGCCTCTGCAGTTTCCTGTCCAAGTTAACATCAGTGATCTTCACGGGCGTCTTATGCTGCTTCATAAAATACCCTGCTACGTGGAAAATGGTACGATTAATCAATAAGTTCAGCTTAGCTACAGCATTAGAGCAGAAATCTCAGAACTTTTAGAGCTAATTTTGTTATTCTGCCTTTAGACCTTTTTATGTGACTTTTAACTTTCAAAAACATGAACAGTCATGTTATATAAATGTTTTACCTGCAACTAAATAGAAGTTTAGCCATTCCTTTATTATACTGCTTGATTTTATTGCACATAGCAACAGTTGAAGTTGATTATTTTTTCTGCACATACATTCCTTCTTGCAGAGCTTAAATCCACACTTTCCAGCTTTATAGAGAAGGAGACCACTTTGGATTATGACAAAGAAGCAGAAGTGGCGCTGCAGAGACTCACAACAGGAGACGTAGATGTAAACCAGCTGGCGAGTGCCTGGGCCAGGTCTTATGCAGAGGTAAAGCACATTTCAAAGCAGTAATGTTCATCACCCTGATTTTTTTCAGTAGTTTTAAGAAAATTCAAATATTCGTAGTTTCACATTTTCATATATTATTATCCAGACTCAGTATCCAATTTACTATCACTTTGTGTCTGAATTAATGAGGTTTCGTTTTTATAGTGTACATATACATTTTACAGTTGATTGTAGAACAGCAACAAAAAATTATTTAAACAATGTTTTTTAGAATTAAGGACACCTTTAAATTACATTTGATTTCCTCCATTTTTGCATTTAGTTAAATGATCCTTTTGGTTTGATGGCAGTTTTTGGAGTGACTTTAAAACACATGATATATTATGGTTAAGAACAACAACATGCCATTAATTCAGTATTAGTATAATACTGAATGTATAGCATAGCAAAGTGCTTCTTTTAACTTCCAAAGTGATTTAAAGAGCAAGTCACCCCCAAATCAACCATTTTTTCCAGATAAACTATATAAATGTGTGTCTAATCGTGCTGCAGACACGTGTAGTCAGTAGTTTTGCACTTTAATGCATTTTTGTTCAAATAAAAAATTTCTGCCTAAAACTGTCAGTGTTGTGCCGTTGTCAGGTAAAAACTCTGCACTGCATTTGAATTTAAATCTGCCATCGCTATTGGCTAATGCCGGGCGTACACTGTGCGACTTTTTCACTTTTTTGAGCCGATTTTCCCCTCGTGCGAGAATCCACGACATCAGGGCGAGTTTAACGCTGAGCGTCGTGTAGTGTACAGGGGGTTACGAGAGGCGATTAACACCACGTGACCATCTGCCGATCAGCAGTCGTGAGGTCGCACGGACTTCTGGCGTGTTTAATATTTCGCTCGTCCCTCGTGAGGGTATCGCACTGCTGAAGCGGCGCTGCGAGCAGCTGCGACCCAAAAAGTACCAGAACCGCTCACGACGCTTGTGCAATCCTGCATCAACACCGCTCGCCCACCATTTCCCTAATAACACACGCTGTTCGTTTTTGTTTCTACACGTTTTTTACTCACAAAGATTGTCAAGAAAGCGTGTTTGTCGTGTTCATGTCAAATTAAACTGATCACAAAACACAGATTTACTTTCTTTATTTCGTTTTCCTCATCCAACCCCCATAAATCCCCGTGTGTCCTCCTGCAGCACTCCCGAAGGACAACAGGCAAAACAAGACAAAAAAGTCTGACGTGTTGAGTAAAAACTGCTATTTTTAGCATATTTTTAGGGCCGACGTGTTGCTACCAGACGTACAGCGTGAGCAGTCAGATCGCATCCGAGAACTGGGTCGTACAGTGTGAGCACATGACTCGTGAGATCTGCTCTGCGAGGAAGTCGTACAGTTTGAGCTGAAGCTGAGTGCTACGAGTGAAAAAGTCGCAGTGTACGCCCGGCTTAAGAGGTACCCTAGAACGTTAGCTGGCACCATATGATGTCACAATGTCGTCGTGAGCCTGTGTGTGTGTATTTGTTAGCGGCTCCGCCCTCTCGGTTTGCTAGGCAACAGCATTTGTTGCATTTTTCAAACAGGAAGTGGGAGTGGAGCAATAGTCTGGTAGGGGGTGACTTGCTCTTTAAGCAGAGGTGGAGTTGTGCAACTGCTAATTGATTGTTAATGAGTTATAGAAAAGAAAAAAGAAGAATAGATGATAAAAATAGAAAATAGATGGTGAAACCCTAGGATTTGAAAAAACTGTTAATTCTGCCTTCTTCTTTCTGCTTCCTCTTAAAATGTACTTTTTACGCTTCAACTGAGTCAGTTACTTATATTTATTCTAGGTATTAAAGTTACCCCGGTTTCCACGGGAGCCGTCAGCAGCACGTTACTGCAGCAGCACGTCAAGCTGCTGCTTGGCCCTTCCCACGAGACGCGAAGCAGCAGGGGAGCCGCTGTCACCGACCGAGCACGAAGTCACACGAGTGACTTCGTCAGTAAACACAACAACAAGCAGGAGAAATTTACAACATGGTTTGTGTTTTATGTTCTGTCCGTTTTATAATCGCCAATACGGACCTGAAAAACAAAGGAGACCGCTAGCTAGGTGATAACTTCTCACGG